GACTGCACTGACATCTCTTTTCTAAGTCTGGTTATCTCTTCATCCTTTCAATTTCAATTCTTAAACTCATCAATTAATTTTTTCATTTACATGATAGACCTGTATCTAAAATGAATATTTATTATAAATTAAAGGTATTTTATATTATTAGATATGTTAATATGAAATATTTTTTATTTAAAAAATTATTAATACTTTAAATATAAAATATTAATAAAAATATACTTTTAAATTCTAATAACAAATTTTATTTTTTTTGTTCAGAATACTCCACAAGAAATGGTCATCACTTAAACCAATCTTTTTTTTTTTTATTTACGTGGGGTGTCCGGGCCAGCTTGCGCGCACCACGACTAATCCCCACGGCCCACTGAATACCCTGCAAACCCAGTAGGCATGTAAAGCACCGCGGGGGTGACAGACGTGCACGTCAGGGCTCGAACCCAGGTGCAGTGGAAGGAAACAAGCCCCTTCCATCACTAGACCATCCATTACTAACCAAGCTTGTATCACCTCTTGTTATTTTATTTATTTGTAGTACCAATTTTTCCTTTCTTTGCTAAGAATAATGTTAAACGTGAAGAAAACAACCTTCTTATTAAAGAACAGTTAACTGCTCTTATAATGTACTGATTTATTTTACTCATTTGCCACTTTTCAGGGTTTTGGCGTTCTGTGAAGAGTGGGGTTTTAGTATTTTTGGAGTGATCAAGTGCTTTTGCTAGGTGAGTTGACGTATTTTTTATACTAAACTTGGATGAATTGAAGTGGGACTTTAATTTGTGTGTGTGAAGATGGGGTCTGAGGACTTTAGGGGTTTGAGAGGTAGGGATGGTGGTGTGGATCACTGTGATAGGTTTGGTCGTTTTAGTGTTGAAGATGCATATAACAATAGTAAGAGTGGGGTTGGTATGATACTGATTCTGGAGAAATTGAATCTGTAGTTGAGGCTGCAAGAATGGGTTATGTTATGAGAAACAAGGAGTCTGGGATTCAGATACGAGCTGCGTGTTTGATGAAAAGGAGTTTGACAAGGAGTTTTCGATGTACCTTGGTTGCTTTTTTTGGAGATGGTAGCTATGGGTGGCTTGATCCGACGGAACTTGTTCAATTTGATTCTCATTATGTTGAGAAATCAAAGCAAACAAATGCGAAGGTCTTCCTGAAGGCTGTTGAAGAGATTAGAAGGAGGGCTGAGCTTGGTTTGTTGAGTCCGGAGTCTTTATAGTTTTAGGCCATTGCAAGTTGATGGGGTCCTTCAAGTTGATATCTGTGGGTACGAGGCTGGGGGGATGTACACTGTTGAACAAATTAAGAGCGCCAGAACTACATTACAGTCAGTCGAGATGCTTGACTTTAAAAGCAGATGGCATTGATGCCATGTATGAATTTTAGAAGGAGCGTTCCTTGGATCAAGAATGTAGCTACACTTCTTGCTTACCGGAGAGAAGTCGTTGAGGAGCATGACGAGACCCACTTCAAGGCCCTTGGATTGCGAAGTGCATTCCCTGCCAATTCAAGGGTGGTCTTGGCACGGGGGGTTAAGCTGCAATCTCAAGCTGTGGAATCTAATGGAACATACATGAGATGCACCTTTTATCAAGAAACAGAGTTTTCATGTGGTGAAGACCATCTTGCTAGCAAAAAAGTCATAACCATGGAAAAGAAAGCAGCTCTTGAACGAATTAATTTAGTGGATGCTAAAGTTGACTGCAATTTAAATTGCACATCGGTGGTTGGCGGATGGCAATTTTCTCAACTAGCAGAACCAAGATATCTTGAAGTGGCTGAAAATTACAAAGGATTGGACAAAAAGCCAAAGGTATGTGAACGACCTCGAATAGAGTTTTACTTCTGAGCAAACTACTAACAAGACAAAGAAAGAAACCGAGTTGGAAGCAGGGATGCAGTACTATCAATATAAATGCAATGAGAATGTGGGCTGTGAAACATTACCAAGACAATCAGCTGGAAAATCCCACCAGAAAGATGTACTTCACGAAGAGAATCTGCTGATGAACCAAGATGGAAAAAGCAATATGGGATGCCTCACAATTTCTCCTGATTCTCTGTCTCAGTTAGAATTGATTGACCCAAAAAGTACTAAAATGGAACTTCCTCTGTTGTTTGGTCTTCTGCTGTCTCTTGCTCTTAATCCTCCTCATGGTCTTGAACATTGTAGCTTTGTGAACTTGCTGCAGTTCTTGCAATTTCTATCTTTTGCTTGTCAAAAAGTTTCAGTTGTAGCACCTTTAGCAGAGTCTTGCAACATGTCACTTGCACTAAGCCTGCTAAGAGATCCAGTGGGGAGTGTGCTAGAGACCCGCCTGCTGCCTCAAAACCACCAAAAATGCGGTGCAAACATGATGATTATGCTAAGTTTACAGGTGAAAGAAACGTACTCGGTGTGAAAAAGTCGCCTTCAAAAAGATCAGGAAAACCCAGTGAACAATAGTCATTGTCCGCAGAAAAGAAGGCTGCCAATGAAAAGCCTTTGAAGTCCCAGGAAAGAGGCAGAGAAGAGACAGATATGAAAGTCCCATCAAGGTCAATTCAAAACACTCTTAAGAAGGTTGCAGCTCCAAGAAGGTTTGCAAAACCTACAATGCTTCTGATGCATGAGAACCATGAGGTTTAGTAATTTGTTCAAGCTTGTAATCAGAAACATATTCAACTTTGAGGAAGGGAACAACCACATGTATACCTCCAGCCAGATTTTATATATATATACACACGCACACACACACACACACACATACATACATATACCGATGTATTTGGGACAATGTTAAAGCTTCTTACAAGGTGCACCTCCCTTCTAACTAACTTGAAAAAACTCCTTTGGTTATGTTCCTTGCCATCTCTAAGCAATACTGAATATGAAGATTATCATCTAGAGCTTACATACAATGAGCAAAGACCTTTTTGGTAGTGAAGCTCCATGTAGAATGAGCTATGCTGACATTGGATAAAAACCACCGCTTTTAGGAATCTATTGACGAGAATTTAGATATTGGCTTGCCATAGGTTGTTGGTATAGTTATGGAACTTGATTGTCTATATATAATGCAATTTTTGTGCGGCCAGGATAGCACTTCTCGTTCTTGCTGCCCATTTAACAACAGTAATAGCATGAAAATGATCGAGGAAAGTAAGTCGTATCAAGTTCTCTTCATTCCGTGTTATCCGTGCCTCTATTTTATGAATATGTTTTATTATATCGTGTTTTTTTTTTTTTAATAAATTGACAAGCGCAAAGATGCTCTCTAAAAAAAAATATGAATCAATTAATTATAAAAAATTAAATCATAAAAGTGTTTTTATTACTAATGAAATATTTAAATAAAAAATTAACCTTTTTTTTTAAAGCAAAGAACTGCTAAATATACAAATATTTAACCCCCCAAGAAAATAAAAGCTTTGTATTTATAAACCAAGCTCACACGCTTGACTTTAAGAAAAAAACCTAGGTATCTTTTTTTTTTTAATTATTATTTATTTATTTTTTGGGAGGGGGTGTTTACAATTCATTTTTTAACCATTATTTACCTAAGACCACCTATATAAATCACTCAATAATCTCAAAACATCCAAAATCATTAAAAAAATAAAAATTCAAAAACATTAAAAAATAAAAACTAAACCAAATCCATCTTGTTATGATTAAAGAAAAACATCATCTTCAATGAACATTTCTTAAGAAAAAAAATCAATTAAAACAAAGATGTTTTTTTTAGTAATTGGATTATGACGAATTGATTATCTGTTTATTTTCAGGGAACATATATCTTATTTTTCAAACTTATTGATTGAAAATTGAATAAAACAAGATTTTGGACTATAATGAAAATTATGAAAACTTTGAGTTTGGCCAACTATTTTCACTGAGTTTTACATTATGACCCTTTTACTTTAAATTTTGTCTTACTACAACAATTTAAAATTTCATTTCTTAGAATTACATTGGACTAAAAAAAGAAATACAAAAAATCTAAGGATAAAATTGATAAAGAAAATAATAAAAAAAGAAAAAAAAAGAGAAGGAATCTTCATTATTCACATGATTAAAATCTATAAAAAAATCCAGTTGTTTTAGTTTAGAATTTTACATGATCCAAAGCTTACTCGTGGTTAGCTAGGTTCATCCGTGGGTTAATAGGTTAAATTAATTTTGTTTTTGGAGCATTGTTTGTATTTAAAAAAAAATAACTAATTTTAATTTTTTTTAAGAAAGGAAGCTCATAACTATATTATTTTAGTAAAAAATTAAAAAAAAAAATAAAGGGTTCAAAATGAAACTCAACGGAGTAAAAAATTTTAATTAACAAATCATTAAATTGATTTAGTTTGAGTTTTATAACTATATTGTAATTAGTAGATTGTTTATGTATGAGAGGTTTTATTATTAGTCTAATTAGTTGATCCAAAATTAATTGATCAGCTTTCTAATTTAATTTAGGTTGGATTTTCAAAAAAATCATTAAATATTACCCAGGTCGACCTCAGGTTGATCCTTAGATTTGGTTAACTTAATAAAAAACCTATTCACTTTTTTTTTTTAATTAAGAAAAGCTTTGTTTTAGTTTTTTATTTTATTTTTTTAAGTTAATCGTGGTTAGCTGTGGCTACCCCTAAATTCCGGTTTAACAACAACGTTGACTTGTCTCAACTGAAAACCTTCCAGATAAATAAATTAAAGACCAGTCACTTTACAGTTCACAACAAGCGCCTTTGAAATTTCAAAGTCGCAGCCCATAAAAATTTATGGGATTGGTCAAAAAATAAATAAGAAAAACTAAAATCAACGTGCATGACGACTAAAAAAAAAACCTTTGATGATAAAAAGGAATATCCTTCTTCGTAAAGGATTACTCATCAAAGAATCTCACAAAGTCATTAACCATGGTTAATAATTCATTATATCAAATTTATATCTATATCTAACCATGGTTACTCATTTTCTCATAAGAAGCTAACTCATAAGTCATAACCCACAAGCCACGAGAGGCGACTATATTGTCCCTGTTTTGCATGTATAATTTGTATACATATCCACCAGTGAGGTTTCCAAGTCACTTGCAAATTGCAACAGAAAATCACCAAACTCCATCTCTCTCTCTGTCTGTCTAAATGGGTGAAAGAACCTTAGAGATCAATGTCATCTCTGCAAGAGGTCTCAAAGACGTCAATTATATCTCAAAAATGGATGTCTATGCTGTTGTTTCAATCTCTGGTGATGACTCAAAACAAAAGCCAAAGCAAAAAACCAAAACCCCTGTAGATAGAGCTGGTGGCAAAAATCCCACTTGGAACTTCCCTATAAAATTCTCTATCCCTCCAACCCCACTTGCAGAAAACCGTCTAAATCTTGTTTTCAATCTTAAATGTGAGCGTGCTCTAGGAGATAAAGATGTTGGTGAAGTCAACGTGCCAGTAAAGGAGCTTTTGGATTCAGCTAGCGATGGTAAATCCATGAAATTTGTTAGTTATCAGGTAAGGAAACCATCAGGGAAACCTAAAGGTGAGGTTAGCTTTTCTTTTAAGTTTAGTGGGATTGAGAAAGTATTGGTGGCTGAAGTATCAACAGCAGCAGCAGCAGCAGCAGCGAAGGCTACTAATTCTAGTAGTCAACCTGTCACTGCATATGCTGCTGTGCCTGTTGTTGGACCTAGTTCTGTTCCTGATGCTGGAACTGGCTCATATCCACCGCCTCCACCCGGGAATGGATGTCCACCGCCTCCACCTGGTTATGGATATCCATCTCCACCGCCATATGGCAGATACGCGCCGCCTCCTCAACCGGGTTATGGGTACCCACCACCTGGATATGGATATCAACCTGCTCAAGGGGGATATAGGTATCCACCTGTTCAAGGGGGATATAGGTACCCACCACAAGTGCAAGGGCAGCAGCCACAAAAGAATAAATTTGGAATGGGCTTAGGGGCTGGATTGCTAGGAGGAGCTATTGGTGGGCTTTTGATCGGAGATATGGTGTCTGATGCTGGATTTGATGATGGTGGTGGTTTTGATTTTTGATTTTTTTTTATATATATGTTTCTTTCGGACTTGTGTTCATGGGATGGTAATGGTTGGTGTGGTAATAGTAGCTTTTGAATTGTCAGATCGTTGATCTTTTTCATCTTTTGAAGGGTGTGGTTTGTTGGGCCAAGAACACTAGTATATTAAATCACTTCACTCATTAAGATTTAGGCTTTTGAGTTGTATGTTTGGCATCATCCTCTACTCTATGTATAATGTATATGTAATACTCTACAAAGTTATAGTTCACAGTTCCTACAAAGTGATTTCATGTTCTTTATTTTCCATTCTCAAAAGTCTCCATTTTGAGTTAAATCAATACTGAAGTACTTAGAAGCGTAGTTGTTAAATCTTTATTGACGGGTTGGCTTGGAAATCTGGGATATGAAGCTTGATTTAGACCAAGTTTTTAGTTGAACTAAACTTGATATTAATTTGATGAAATGATTGACCAGTCAAAATGATTGACCATTGAAATTATTGAGTTAACATTAAATATATTTTTTTAAATAAAAAATAATTGATGCATTGATGCTCATGTCATGTTGATCGGTCCTACTAATCCAAGCCTGTCACCAGTCAGGTTTGAAATTCCAAAAGCTTTAATATGAGAAAATAAAAAAGAAAGCGCCAGTCTTGATCTTTTGTTGTTTCTAGCCTTGTCTACTTGAGATAGGCTGATGGTGGAGCCATGTTCAATCTCCAGGCATGTTTTGAAAAATTCCTTGTGAAGATGATGAAAAATACTTGGAAATTAAGTTCTTGCATATCCCTTTTCCATGGAAAACTGCTTCTTTGACGAAATTGATGTGAAATTTTGAATATTGGATAGATGAGATACCGTCAGAGTGACCGAATCGCCAAAAGGAACGTAACACAACTTTTCTACCAGGTCTTGAATCAGTCTGAATAGAAATGTCTCGCCGGCCGGAGATGGAAGCACCTGCCACAGTAGAAACTGATACATACTCTCAACTACATGAGCAAACACAGAACGAGTCATGCCATGCTCTCTCCAGAAGCAAGAAAATAGAATATACCGTGTCAAAACATGTTTACAAGAAGGATTGATGGTCTGTTCAAAATGAACCAAAAAACTGTCCGATCAATTGGCTGCAAGTGGTCATTTTACCAAAGATATCTTTTGCAGCAGAAGCAACAAGCAAGCAGCTGGATACAGGAGCAATCAATATTCTAATTCAAAATGAACCAAAAAAATCCATATGGAAGAGATTCTCAAGTGCACCTGTGAGTCGTAAATATGTAAATATTTTTTTTATTTTTTAAAATTTATTTTTAATATATACACATTAAAATTATAAATAATAATAATAATAAAAAATAATTAAAAAAAATATATTTAAAGTTTCTAAAAACATGTGGCAAGCATTCTCAAATACTACTATGTAAGATTAATAACGATCTACAATTTAAGTTAAAAGTGATATCCATTATTGTATGTAAAAGTTTGTTTAGTATGGTAGTTATGATTAATTTTTAAAATATTTTTATTTAAAAATATATTAAAATAATATTTATTTATTTTTTATTTATTTTGATATTAATATATCAACAGGATTTAAAAATATAAAAAAATAATAATTTAAAATAAAAAATATAAAAAAATTATTTCTTTCTAAAAGCATTTTAAAATATAAAAACAAATAACATCTAAGTACTCTGCGCGCTTGTCAGACGTGACGTGGACGTAAAGGTTTATACATCTCTCCAAACGCACCAGTTTCCGTTAATTGCAAGGCATAGTTCCCAAGGATACATTTTGCAGAAGCAAGAAAACAAATGAGCCGAAGAATATTTGAAAATCCAGGCGGAGAAAACATATCAAACCTAACCAAAAAGCTGTGTATAGCTCACCTATATAACTGGAGCTTTCAAGACCCTGCATTCATATCTCATTTCTTTTCAGCCAAGATCTTCTGGTTTGTTAGGCTAATTTTACCCATGGCACTCAACGTTCATGGTATCCCTATGTCCACATGCACAGCCCGTGTATTGCTTTGCTTATCTGAGAAAGGCCTGGAATATGAACTGGTGCCGGTCGACGAGATGTCTAAGGGAGCCCATAAGCAACAACCTTATCCATCTTTAAATGTAAGATCAACTTAGTGTTCCCTGATCTTTGAAATACAATTTACACAAGTATTGACAGAAATTTCATTTCTTTCTTGCTTGTAGCTATTTCGACAAATACCTGCATTCGAAGATGGATGGTGATTATGTCTCTTTGGCGAGATCATTTGCATCCTTAATCTCTAAGCAAACCAATAACGCTATCCTACATAACTTGTTTGTACATACTTTTGCACTATTGTCAGAATCACGAGCAATTTGCAAGTACTTGGGACTTAAACACAGGGAGATAGGAACAGATCTCCTCCGGTCTAGCAGCTTTACAGAGTCCAGCATTGTCGACGTATGGATGGAAGCAGAGGCTCACCAATTTCTGCAATCATTGGACAAATTATTGTCAATCCCGCATTCCGACTTGTTCCGGATGAGAAGGTCATCGGAACTGAATTGTAGAAGCTGGGAAAAGTTCTTGATGTGTACGAGGAGAGGTTGTCTAAATGTAGATATCTTGCAGGTGATTATTGCACAATGGCAGATATGAACCACATTCCTTACCTTTTTTACTTCATGAAGACTCCTTATGCAACTGCTGTAACTTCTCGCCATCAAAGTTACATCAGGCATGACGCTCTAGGATACTTTTTTCTTTCTTTCTTGTGACAATAAAGGATACTGTATACAACCCTGTTTTCACTGCCATGCTCTCTAAGCAAGGAATTGGTTATCCGTGTCTGTTGATTTTGATCTACTTGATCATTTGCCAATGGCATATTGGTAATGATACTAGAGGAACATAATCATCATCATTTAGCTTTGGCATTAGCTAACTCCGCTTTTTGACAATCTTAGTAGTGAAATGAGCAGCACTGTGCACACATTCATCCTAATGGAACCAGCTGAATAGTTTAACAAAAGAAGTGCAATTAGACCTAAATCAGCAGTAAATGCCAAAAACTATTTTCAATTAACTGGTATTCTAGCTGTTCATCGAACTGATTTGTTGAATCAAGAGTTGGATAGTACAACAGTTTACCTTTTAAGGCTGCTCAATTTAAAATAGAAGCGTAATATATGAAGTCAAGTGTAATATAGTTGAGGATGGAATACGAGCTGGTGCCTTTTGACTTGCTAAGCGGAGCTCATAAATAGCAATCTTTTCTCTTTCTGAATGTAATATCAAGATCATTAACAGAAAAAAATATATGGGCATTGCTACTATATCTGGGCAAGGCTTTATATCTACTCGGGTAGCCTTCCTCTAGTGCTTTAAAAGATATATATGGTCTATGGCTCTTTTATGTCATTATAAGCAAGATCTGGCCCAGTATGCTTACGTAAAATTAATCAAAATTTGAGGGGCAAATGGCCGCTGAAGTCTAAAACCCTAGACAAGAGCATAACCAAAGCAAGAACCTCACCTTTGTTGCAGCCTTGAATCCTCAATCTACTTCTCCTCCTCCTCTCGACAAATCAGGAAACCAAAAAAATGAGACCTTTAGACGAGAAAGAAATGGGTGAAGTCTTCAAGAAACTGATGTTGTTCACAGGAAACAACCTCAAAAACATCATTGAAAACCCCTCACATGAAGGGCCAGACCCGAACCCAGGTCGGTACTGCTTCAGGCTCCTCAAAAACAAGGTATTTTACATCAGTGAATCTCTAGTGAGGCGAGCAACAAACATTGGACGCAAAAATTTGGTATCTTTAGGTACTTGTATTGGGAAATTCACTCACGGGGGTGGTTTTAGATTGACTGTTCAGTCACTGAATTTGTTGGCTGCTAATGCTAAACATAAAGTTTGGTTAAAACCCACTTCAGAGATGTCTTTTCTGTATGGGAATCATGTGTTGAAAGGTGGGCTAGGGAAGATTACTGATAGTATTAATAGAAATGATGGGGTTGTTGTGTTTTCTATGAGTGATGTGCCTTTGGGGTTTGGAACTGCTGCAAGGTCGACACAGGAGTGTAGAAAGTGTGATCCTAATGGGATTGTTGTGCATCACTATGCTGATATTGGCGAGTATTTGAGAGACGAAGATGATCTTTGAGAATGATCCTGGAGCTTTCTGGGATTATGGTTGCTGTTTCTGCCGCTGCAGCTGCTACTGTTCTTGTTCTTGGTGCTGGTTTAAGAGAGTTATGGGAGTTAATGTAAGCGGGAAGTTGGTATAATTTGTATTAGAATGAGTGTTTTTTTTTTTTTTTTGGTGGTTCTCTTGTGAATGTTAATGAGCTTGAAGCTTTTCTTCTATGGGTTTTGGCTCTATGTCAATTTTAATGAGTGTAGTACTTGCGTTTTTTTTCCTCTTCTGATTTAGATAGAATAAAGTCAAGTGTATATCTTCAAGTTTAGTGATTTAAATGCTTTTCATGATTGAACGAATGCAAGCAATGAAATCTTTAGTTTAGTTATTTGGATTGCAATGAACATTTGCTGCATTAATTCCTCTGCCTCCTCAAGTTGTGTACCCACACAACTTATGAGATGCACATTGGAAAAGTTAGTTTGTAGAATGTTTAGGCTGTTCTGGTTTACTTTTTATATTTGCTTGTTTTTCTGCAGGATAGGTGCTTGTGCGTGCTAATCATGCCAAACAAACAAGTAATTGATATTTGAGATTGTTTCTCTGGCATTACCAATTAAATGATTGAGTGAATTAAATTTTGTTGAACAAAAAGATTTTTTTTTTTCATTTTTCTAATGGGCGTATGAAATGTGTATTTCATTAGAATGCTGATACGTTAATTAGTATGAACTAGCTTTAGTCGTGTTACTAGCATATCCAACCTCTCCTATTCTGCTAATGTACCTCATCTGGTAGTACTGTTCTGTTTTCTAGCTGGTGGGGTTAGAAAAACTTAACTAATGGTTCGTGAAGAACAATTGTCGGGCAGTTATGCATGCAGCCATCTAGTGGAAACACAATGCTGTAGGGTAGTAATAACTATGCAGTATGCAGTTTGATAATGTGATCCAGGAAAATAAATGGAACAATATTGTGTTTATTTTCATGATTGAGATTATCTTTAATCTTTTTACATGTTCATCGTTAATGATTTGCTATTTTAGCATGTATTCTTAACTGAGTTACAGATGAATTAGTTAAAGATTGCTTTATTGTCTGAGCATCAGATTGAGTTCTGAACTTATTTTGGCATATTATAGACACCATGTGTAGATTAAGTGATACTATTTTGTTATGTATGTAATGAAGAGAGGTTCACACACACACACACACACAGACATAGTGCATGCTATAAACAATTTTAAACTAAGCCACGCTGGATACCGATCAGATAGATGTAACACAGCTTAAGTTTTTTCCTTCATTTCTTAATAAAAATTGGAATGCTTCTCCGAAAAGGGCAACTGCTTGTGGAGTGGCTTCCTGGTATTGTTCCGTGTGCAGTCTGGTAGGACTCCTTTCCTTTGGTCATATGCTTCACGTTAAGTTTTAGCATACAAGTTCAAATACTTACAGACCATAGTCAGCTATGTATTCAGCTTAATAAGGCCATACTTGCACATCTTTTCTACTTCAGAATTAGATATGACTATTGTGGTACTTTCTGTGCTGCTCTGTATTTCAAGCTGCATCTCTTATATTCAGTGTTCATTATAATTCCGAGATATTTTGTCTGAAAGCAGACAACTCGTCGTGGAGATTAATATCTATCTTCATGGTTGGAGATTACTATCGAGCCCGTTTGGTTGGTATTGTGGTTGGGGATGTGTTTTGCCCCAACCACAATATTCTGCTTGGTTACAAAAAGTAACTCTGCGTTTGGCACCTCAACCACAGATAACAAAAAGCTACAAATTGTAGCTTCTCATCCAAGGTTACAAAATGCTGCGTTTTGCACGTCAACCACAGGCAACAAAAAGCTACAAATCGTAGCTTACAAACTGCGTTTCATCCTTCTCATTGACCGTTAAAAAAAAAAAAACCCAGAAATCTTGACAACAATAACCCAAGTAGATGTTTGTCACAGATCTGCAAAAACCATGTCTATGCAAGCACCACTCGTAACCCATTTCCTAAACCCATCAAGCTGGACTCTTCAGTGTCGACCTTCTTCTCGCCAACTAGAAGGCCGCAACCCAAGTTTCTTTAGTTTTTTTAACTAAAAAACTCGAAATATCGGTCCGATTCAAGCCGAGATTCAAGCTGTCATTGTTGGGTCTAGTTGTTGAGCTTTGTAAGGTCTGAAAATTCGTTGGTTTGGCTAGAAGCTTCAAACCCCATTTCAGATAACTACTGCTAAAAAGACAGTGGTTGCTGTCATACATGATATTCACGAAGCCATTAACTGAGCAGCATGGAATAGGGCTGCTGCTCATTGCCGTGAGAATTATATTGAAAATGGTTCCTCCAGATTATAAAACCGCAAGTAGGAGTGCACCTAGAAATGAGAAGTCCCATTTTAAAGAAGCGATAAGTTTATCAGAGAGCAGGAAAGGTGAAGGAGATGGAAAAAAGGCCTTTAGTGTAAAGACCAAGGTCTTAGAGTTTTTTGGTTCTTCTTTATATTTTTTTTCCTTGAATTTTTTCTTGGCTTCTCATTAAACCCAGGAAGGGCATGGAGGATAGGAATAACAAAGTACTTCAGGAAAGAAGAGATAATAGACATGCTAGCTACTCGTAATGTAAATTTCAGTGATGAAATGTTTTACCTTTCTATGTTTTTGAAATTAAATTTAATTGATTTATATTCATTTATCTATTTATAATAAGGTGAAAGAAGAGAGAATTAATAAGTAATTCAGAATCACTTTCAAAGAAATTTGAATTTTTTTTATTTTTTACTTTAAATTAATATTTTTTTTATGTTTTCAAATCATTTTAATGTAATAATATCAAAAATAATTTTTTAAAAATAACAAATATTATTTTTAATATATTTGAAATGAAAAACACTTTGAAAAACAATCACTACCACACTCCTAAACATTCATATCGGTTTAGGCAAGAAGGGAATATAGTGCATATAACACAAGTTTATTTTTCTAGAGGAAATTAATAATTTCAAAATAAAATTTTCAAAGCCTTAAAGATAATTAAATGAGAAAAATGTCATGTTTATTTCACTATTTTTTTAGATAACCTTTTCATGTAATAGCTAAAAAATTTATTAATTATTCTTGTAGAAAAATATTATTTTATAAATGTTATATATCCAAATGAATATAGATTTTAAATTCATATAAAGATATAGAATATCATTTGCTAGATTTTTGACGAGGAGAACAACTGATATGTCACAAAACGTTATTTAATCATGCGCATTAATATGCAATGTGATTGAATATAAATTTGGAGTGTGAAAAATGAGATAAAAATTTATAAAAAATATCTTTTTATCCTTATAAAATATAATTTTAAATTGTAGTTGCATTAATGACAATATATATCTATATTAGAAAAAAAAAATATCAAGATAATCATGTATTTATAGAATCTGATCCCCATTTAAATTTTGTTCATGATGAGATTTTAATTGATATCATGTTATATTCATAAAAACCGTCGAATAGATGATGTTTATGATAAAATTATAGCTAGTTTAATAAGACAATAAAATTAGTTTATATTTCAAGAGGTATGCAAAATTAATAATAAGGATTACATTTTTAATTGGACTAACTTTGCAATTGGTATATTTATTATTAGTATTTGTTTTTTGTTAATCTAGGATCTTAATGTTATTTTGCTATATTTTTTATGTATTAATCATATATTATATAATTTGAAGATAAAAAACTACTATGTCTTTTTAATAATTTTATTATCAACAACAATTTCCACTATAATTTTAAAATATTTTAATTCAACCAATATTTTTTATTTAATAATAATTTTAATTAAATATATATATTTTAATTCAACCAATACGGTTTTTTGCAGTATGAGAAGTTGCACCGCAGAATATGGTGCATGAACGTGGCATTAAGAATATTCAATTTTTCAGAAGCATGCAATATGTTTTATTGTTAGAATTTTATTGACCTTTACATATATGTGTGTGTGTGTGTGTGGAAGAACAACCATTTTGCGAGCTCCAACAACGAGGACATGACCTTTACATATTCCTAAGTCGCAATTTGATATACCAACCTTGGATCTCCGGTTCTCGCACAATTCCTGTCTACTGGCAAGCGTCTAAAGCATAAATTAACAAAACACTGCGAAATATAGCAAAATTACTGTAGCCACGTATGCAAAACCCAAGAATAATATTCTTTTTTAATTTTATTTCTCAATAATTTCGTATTTTTTAGTTTTTTTAATTTTAATTTTTAATATTAAATTATTTTAAAAATTATAATTTATGATTTTTTTGTTGAGATATATATTAGTTTTATATTTTTTTAATTTCAACATTTAACATTAAATCTTTAAAATTAGATTTTTATATTTTATTTATTTATTTTGTTTTTATGAATTTATCATGATTTTATAAATTAAGTCACGGTGAGTTTAATGTACTAACCCGGATTGACTTAATTTATTTTTTGTTGTTTTTTAATTAATTTTTTATTTTATTATTCAATATTGAGTTGATTAAAAATTAAGTTTTGCAATTTGTTTAGATTTATTTTATATAAGATTATTTTAATCTCATGATCCAGGTTGTGGATTTGACAAATTGACACGAGTTAACTCAGTTAATTTTTTTGGATCCTTTTTAAATTTTTTTAAATTGAACTTAGTAATTTTTTTCTATTTATTTTTTATAGAATTGTCCTGATCTCATTATCAGGGTTGCGGGTTTAACAGGTTAACCAGATTTATTTTTTGGTCCTTTTTAAATTAAACATATTTCATTCTTCAAAAACTTAATTTTTTTTAATTTAGTTTTTTTTAATTTTATTATTTAATATTAAAAATTTGACATTCTATTTGTTCTCCAATTTTCTTCATGTGTAGTATCTTGCTATTATAAATTAGTTTTTTTTATTTGACTTCAACTTTCAATATTGAATTTATTAGAAATGATGTTATAATTTTTTATTTTATTTTTATAAAGTTATCTTAGTATCATAGTATAAGTCATGAATTTAAAAGGTTAGCTTGAGTTAATTTAAGTTTTTTTTTTAATTACTTT